CATAAAACATCGAACAAATTGCTATTGTGATAGAGCCCGGAGATTAGGGTTGTATCTAGAGATTGGGATTGAAGGGATCAATTAGGGATTGATCCCTTGTGTCACAGAAAATGAGGGGATGAAGGGGGTTTGGTTTGGACGAGGAAGAAGGAAGGGGAGGGGAGCTGATATAGGACGAAAAGAAGAAGGAGGGGAGGAAGGGTGGTGCAGCAGCCACTTGGGAAAAGGGGGAAGGGTGGATCGGCAGAGAGGAAGAGAGAGAGAGATTAGAATGCTAGGTTTAGGGTTTAATCTTTTGCTTAATCCCTTAATTCCACGTACAAGAAGTTTATATAAAAAATGGGCTAAATTACACGTTTGGTCACTCAAATTACATAAATGTTTCATGTTTGCCACCCGAATTATTTTTCTTTCTTATTCGCCACTAACTTTACTAATCGTTTCAACATTAGTCACCGACCGTTAGTCTCCGTTAAATTCCGTTAACTCCGTCAGTTTTTTGATGACGTGGCAACCATACAGCTGACTAGACTATTAATTTAATGACATGTCAATTTAAAAAAATAAAACAAAAATAGGAGTGGCTCCACCTACCCATCGTCTTCTCCGCCTTCCCCAACCCCAGCCTTGAAGTGGAAAACACAAACCCTCAAATTGAGAAGAATGGTAATAAAGCACAACACATACAACAATTAATTGAAGCATAAGAAGCCAAAATTCATTATAATCAAAATCCCCAAACACGAACCCTAAGAACCCAGAAAGTAGAAGACAATCGTCAATGAACCTATAAGATGTAAAGACACAAACTCTCTCCCGCCGATGGATTTGTGAAGCCGCATCCCAATCTCCAAGACGTCAACCTTATTCTTAGTCGCCCCTATATCCACTACTCCGACTGCGACTATGTTCCCCTCACCGTCGCAGAGACCTCTCTCGACTTCGCCCAAGTCTCCACCGACCTCCCTAATGACGTCGTCTTGCTCCATCCTCTTCTCCCCAAACACCTTTTCCTTGAACATCGGCGACCCTCCCTCCATCAACCTATAGCACTCACACCGGAGGAAGGCGAGTAGCGACTCATCCCCCTCCCTCAATCGACAACAACAAAAACTGACGGAGTTAACTGAGTCTGACGGGGACTAACGGCCGGTGACTAACGGTGAAACGATTCGTAAAGTTAGTGACGAATTAGAAAGAAAAGTAATTCGGGTGGCAAACATGAAAAATTTATATAATTTGAGTGACCAAACGTGTAATTTAGCCATAAAAATGGCTAATTCCCTACTTGACACGCTAAAATACAACACCAAACTGCGACCAAGTGTAATCGCAGTCCGAAAATGCAGTAACAGGCAAGCTCTAATGTCAACCCGGGGTCTAGATCTACTGCCTACTCTGTGAATATCTATTATCTAGCCAACTAAGTCAAGTGATTGTTGATTTAAGTACAAGCAGTAAGAAAGCAGGAAATGATTCGGTTTTCTGAAGCAAGGGAAGAGTCACTCGGGAATGAGTCCCCCTAGCTCCTTAGTTAGGTCACAGTTGTAATTAATTTTGGTTGCTTTACTGTTGATTACAATGCGAAAGATCCGACAGTAGCTTGGAATCTCTTAAGCTGACCAAGCCCTCTCAGTCAAACTATCCGGTAGACGACTAGTCTTCACCAGAATAGAACGCCGAGGCAATGAACACAGAACTCCACTACTGGAATTAGATTCCAGTACAAAGCAGTGAATCGACTAACTCTCGTATAATCGATTCACTACTACCGATTGAAGAAACTCTAACAACCTAATCAGATTCTATCTATCTCAGGTTGCAGCAAAAATCAATAAAAGATGATCAGACTTCAATTGACTCAATCAAAACACTTCAATCGATTATAATCAAGCAATATCACAATCCAAACGTAATTACAATCAAGATTCCTAACACATGGAACTAGGGTTCTTCATACCCAAGTGAGAGAGAGTTCTACTCCATAGAGAGAGAGAGGGAAATAGAATACAAAGCAGTCATACTCATAACAATGGGAAGAATCTGCTCTGGGATGTCAATCTTCACTCCTGGGGATGCAATCTGGGCTTCAATGGTGAGAAATCCACTCCAAATAGCTCCTAGGGTTTGTTCTTCGCACTTTCTCTCTCTAAAACTCTGTTTTTTGCTCCAAAAATTCGATTCCCTCTCCTTTGGCTCGAAATTGGGTTAAAACCCAGATTTTACCGACCACACGGCCAGGCCACACGGCCGTGTGACTTTCCCAGCTGCCCGTGTGAGTGTGCAAACCGCGGCGTTTCGATTAAGTGGCTTCGGGTTCACTACACGGCCAAAACCACACGGCCGTGTGGTTTTCCAGGCTGCCCATGTGAAAATCACCGAGCCTTCACACGGCCACAAAGGGTCCCCTACACGGCCAGTGTGGCTTGCCCGTGCAATTTGGTGCCACACGGCCAGGTCACATGGCCGTGTGGGTTTTTAGGCGTGCCCGTGTGGCTTGCTCAGGTATCTAGAGATTGCGATTGAAGGGATCAATTAGGGATTGATCCCTTGTGTCACAGAAAATGAGGGGATGAAGGGGGTTTGGTTTGGACGAGGAAGAAGGAAGGGGAAGGGAGCTGATTTAGGACGAAAAGAAGAAGGAGGGGAGGAAGGGTGGCGCAGCAGCCACTTGGGAAAAGGGGGAAGGGTGGATCGGCAGAGAGGCAGAGAGGAAGAGAGAGAGATTAGAATGCTAGGTTTAGGGTTTAATTTTTTGCTTAATCCCTTAATTCCACGTACAAGTAGTTTATATAAGAAATGGCTAATTCCTACTGCTACCCGATTATTCCCCCAATTCCCGAATAGTTCAATATTTCCAATAAAAATAATAAAACGACAATAAAGTACTAAAATGCAAGTTCTCTTTTTTTTTTCCCCAAGTAATGACAAGAGAAAAAATAGTTAGAAACCTCTACCCAAAACCCCACCCAAAGCAACACTTAGTGAAGCCACCCTACAAAATCAAAGAACGCTACCTCTAAAGAGGACAGCAACAGAGCTTTAGGTGCCACTCTATGGGCAGCTCAGTTGGCAGTCCGCAGAACCACACTAAAAACTATACAAAGAGAGCATGAAACTAGGAGCCGATGACACTCTTGGAGCAGTGAGCCGCCTATCGAATCTTCCACTGTTCTACGGTCCAGTTGCTGAATCACCACTTCAGGATCACCTAGCAGCAAGGTGCTTTGCTAGATAGGGATCGAAAACTCCTTGGTGCTGAGATCCCATGCCAGTAGAACTTGCCCGTCTGTCCCATGTAAGACGAGGCCAGACGAGCAACCGGAACGACAAACTGCAGCATCAAAGTTGATCTTCACAAAGTCTGGAGGCGGGCGATGCAAAACGGAAGGATGAGAGGGCACAAGACTGAGAGAGAGGTCTTGGGGGCTGAAGGCTAAGGAAAGTTCAATGACTTGGAAATGGAATTGACGGGCAAGAGAACGGGTGTGTGGCTGAGTATATTCAAAAACCACTTTGTTAAGAGATTTCTAAATTCTCCAAAAAGGCAAACGCATGGGAGAATGTGGGTTTGGAAGTTTACTGAAAACATAACATTGTCGCCACCATATACTAAAGTTCGAAGTTTGGGCGGAAGCAAGGAAATCACTTAATCCCACTAAAAGTCCATAGCACGATGACAAGAGGGCAATGAAAGAACAAATGTTCAATAATCTCTTGATATTCTCAACAATCTAGATATTTGAGAAAGCAATTTACTTCAGGAAATTAGGGAATTGAAGAGCCAACATAGTTTGCAATGTCGTTTAACATAATACAAATACAATTTAAAATAATACAAACCATTCTTAGTGGAAAGTCACATCCGCTAATCACCCACTCTTCAACTTTGTCGTGATTTATTAACCCTAATTAATTTTCTAACAAAAAATATTTGTCATAACATTTGGCAAAAAACCAAAAATTGAGTTTTAGAATTCACATTCTACTACCGATGGGCCTCAAATTAAAATGAATTGAAGGAGATGTCATCAATTCTAATAAATTGAGCTAATGGCTCATTAAGTTAATTGTTGGCTAAACACAAAAAAGAATCGGAGTTAATTATTAATTAATGACGTTTTTAACCACAGCCCAAAATAATGGGCGTCTTTCAATCCGACGATTAAATGCTCATAAAATCCCAACGGATGAAGCTTTTTCGATGAGGATGAAGTTTGGGCCATTGATACTTTGAAAGCAAGAAATTAATTCTGAAAGTCAGAAATTAATTCTTTCTATCCCATAATTTGAGATATAAAGCAACCATAAAGGTCGTAAAGCGCCATAAAAAGATCGCTTTAGTGACTCATTAATCACTTGTAATGGATCATTAAAGACCCAATAACATCAAATAACGTAACTGATGTATTAAAACCAAATAGGGCGAAACGGACCAATGAGGCCATTAATTGGTTCTTAACTTCTCGCCTGAGGAAAATTGATTGCAGGGATCGCCGGACCAACAAAGTCGCCGGATGCAAGTGTTTCCAGTTGGCGGAGGAGCTTCTCAGTTGACCGGGATTCCAAGCTTGCAAACAAACAGAAATGAAGCTAAAAATATCCACACTAGAGTACACTCAGTTCATGCTCCTGTTAGTTCCGCTGGGATTCCAACCAAACAATAACAAACGTTTAACGAAAGAAAAGACCAAATTGAACTTTTCCTCTTCCTTCAATCAGCCAAAACTAAAAGGAAACTGCAAATCGAACAGTTCAAAGTTGATTTGATCTTTCATTTGAGGAAGGAAGGAAGGAAGAGAAGAATGGAAGTAGAAGGGAGCCCCGTAATGAGGGTGCAGAGCATCGCACAAGCAGGGAAATCGGAAGTTCCTCCGCAATACATCCAGCCTCCCACCGAGCGACCGAATAACCACTTCTCATTTATAATTAAATTCAAAAAGAATTCTTAAATTCTATGAATCAAAGCTCTGATTTTGTAATTGGGGAAAAAACAGAGCATGATTGCAGGGGGAACGGATACAACCACCGTAACAGTAACATGGGCGATCGCTCTTCTACTAAACCACCGCCACGTACTGCGCAAGGCGCAGGAGGAACTCGACGGCGTCGTCTCGAAGGAAAGAGCGCTGACGGAAGGGGACATCGGGAAGTTAATTTACCTGCAATCCATCGTTAAAGAGACGATGAGAATGTACCCGCCGGCGCCTCTGTTGGCGGTGCGGGAGTTCGTCAGGGACTGCGACGTGGCAGGTTACAGGGTCCGGAAGGGCACGTGGCTGATGGTGAATGCATGGAAGATTCAGAACGACCCAAGCATGTGGCCGGAGCCGACGAGATTCAAGCCGGAGAGATTCCTGACGGCGGAGTATCTGATGTCCGTGGCAATGAAGGGGGAGAGTGGAATGCTTGTCTCCGCTCCACCTAGCATCGGAACCTTTGGAATAAGATTGGCAATTTGGAATCGTGTTAAGGCATAAGCAACAACAAACCTAGATTTTCAAATTCCCTGACGCAGACAAACAATATTAGCACTCTCATTTTAGAACAAATGCAGCCATGTAATGGCGGGGTGAAGCTCGTATATAAATTGGCTGCAACAGATTCATCGAAAGCTGCACTATCATGGGGCATATGAAGAAACATCGCATGATGCTTAAATCCATATAACGATACACAACGTAAGTTCCAGCCACGATGATCTTCTGAAGCAGTATGGCATCCTATGAAAAAAAAACAGAAACAAAATGCCTAACCAGAACCTGACATCCGGACTTGACTATGCAGGCGTCAGATTGTTATACTGCCAAATTACCAGCTGATCATCCACCGGGAGCAAGGGCAAGGAAACTGATAAGATTATGCAAACAGTTTGGTACTCCAAAGTAGTGATGAAGGCCATAATTCCAACACCTATTTGTCGAGTCAATGAGCCACGCAGAAACTGATATCAAAACTTTGTTTCTGTTGCAGATTCTGACTTAGCACACACCCTGGGGTTTCAGATTCATCTTTCTCTCGAATGTTTTTACCGCACTGCTAATCACTATGGTACCTCCCGAGAAAGATCCTCTAGCCTGAAAGGAACACAGAAACTTAGTGTTAGACATCCTGGAGCAAGAATGAGAAACATAAAAAAGAGTAAGAAATCTTCTATCCAATTATGATGTTGAGCATACCTTGCTAGCAATTGTGCTGGAGAGCCAATTCAGTCCTTCCTAGATTGGAAGTCCTCTGGATTTACCTGCAACAGACAAAAGATACAGCTTCCCTATCACCACTACCAAGTATTCAGCTACTGATTTGGAAGAACGAAAAGAAAAAGCAAGCATTCAACTAGAATAAGCAATCTTGTGTTTGAGATATGGAGATTCAATTGTAGTTGATATGAAGAGTTCTACGCTCTTCGCAGTTTTACTCAACTCAAATTAATAAAACTGGTGGTTATAAACCAGTGGCAAAGAGCTACACTATCATTTTGCAGCAGCTAGATAGTTGATCTGTACATTTGAACCTAGAATGTTCCTCAGAATACTGCTCAATACCAAGATTGTGTACATAAGTTACAACTTACAACACTTCAACAGATAGCTCTCCATAAGTTACAGTGCTACAATTAGTTTGCACACACAAATCCAAGCTGATTGAATCACAAGTCTCCAATTTATCATTTGAAGCTCATAGGGGTTCATCTTCCTCATCGAATTCTGCTTCATTTGTTGGTCTGAGTTTCTTTGCATCTCTAGTTCCCATTGGTGTTCTTCCCTTCTTTGGCTTCCCCCTGAAAAGGCTTTGCAAACTCCATTTAAGCAAATCATTTTCATACATTTGGAATCTGGGAAGTCTACAAATAAGCTTTGTTTCTACATGTTTCTACTAGAGATGGGGTTTTCTCTGAAGTTAAATACTTACTGCCCATTTGCTGGCAAGATTCCTCCTTTAGCCCGATTTGAACCAAGATCAATTCTTCCATCTGTAACGAGTAAAAAAGCAGGATGATTTATTAAACTTCTCAGTTTATTAGAGAGCATAAAAGCCATTCATTCAGTCTCGCCAAATAAGTACAGAGCTTTCTACGTGGTTCTCTGTTATGGAATACTTTTGTGGCAATTTTACAAATTGCATCAAATGACTTGATGGCAAACATATCTACAAAGAAGAGGAAGAAGAAGAAGTACCATCACGGCCAATCCCAAGTTCTTCAGCCTGCAGATCAACAAACGAATCATCACTACTAGTCTTACAAACTTTGCATTTGCTTGATGAGCCAAAGCACAAACCAGATTAGAACAATCACATTATCAACGTATTGGTACTCCGGCTATAGTAAACAAGAATAGACATTTTGCTTGTGTTTTCTTTGGAAAGGAAAGATACATAATCAATACTGCATCACCATAAGCAGCTTAAGCATCAACCAACCTTAAGGAGCCGATGACATAAGCGCTTGAATAAAAAAAATCATTTCACTTCTTTGGAAACTTGAACATACAGTTTAAATGCTTGAGAGTTGAGACTTATCACTTATTCAAACATACTTGAAAACATCAGCTTTTTAATGTAGTCCCTAACCGAGGCATCTCTACCACATAACCAGGGCAGAAGCTCAGTTGCTACTATTACTTCCTCATAAGCTGAAACGTATAAAGTAAGCTACACAGTAATGTGCAAAGGGCAGTTACACCATCATCAACAAGTGAGGACTTAGAAACCAACCGCAGCGAAATACACGATGACTGGGGAAATCTGAAACTTACTGCTGGCGAGGTAACTGAAGATAACGAGAAGAGTCTGTCTTCCGCCTGCAGTTTCCTAGATCTCTTTAAGCTGCAAGATGAATTCATTGAGTAAAAGTTGTTACATTTATGTCCAACAAAAGAAAATCAAGGAATTCTGAAACCAAAAATCAACTACACTGGTAGTGCATGCACTAACTTCCTCCGTTTTCCACTCCCAATTACTTCATAGTCCTCCAAAACCACGGATTCATCCAAAATTCAAGCTCTAAACATACAAGGACATAATTGATATTGCATAGGCACACACACACTAAGCAACAAACAAATAAACCAAATCAATCAATTACTTGGAGGAATTCTTTGAAGAAGACAGAAACCCTTCGAACCCTTTCAGCATATTCCCGAAATGGCTCGAATCTTGCAAGTAGCTGGTTTCGTACTCGTACACCTGCAGTCAAATTTTCACAGCTCAAGTTGGCATAGCCTCAGCAGTCAGCTCAACCAAGGACGAGAATAGAGGAAACCCAGTAAGCGAAATGGTAAAAGACAACATTTTTCAGGATTGGGACCTGTTTCTCGATGGTGCGGAGCTCCTCCTGCAGCTTCTCCCGCTTTGCCACAAGGGAAGAGAGCATGGCCGCCGGATTCGGACCAGCTTTCTGCCCGGAAGGCATAATTGGATCTAATTAAACCCCTCCCCGAAGAATTGGGTAAGAACTGAGGAACCCCGAATCCGGCTCAGGGGGGATTAGGGTTTTCTGGGAACGGTTACCTTTGGATTATACAAATGGCGCGGAATTTGAAATCTCAGAGACGATAAGGTTGGACCGGACGGCAGTAAACTAATCCGATTAAAATGGGGGAAAACAAACACGAACTCGAGAATCGAATCCGACTAAGGGGAATCGAACCTTTAAAATTGTTTATGGCGGAGAAGTAGAAGCCGGCGGAAGGTAAAGGAAACTGGGCTGTATGGGTTGGATCGCAAAAGTTAAAATGCTAACAAGCCCTTTTGTTAGTAGATACTAACTCGTATCCAAAATGGCTGAAGTAATATTCACCTTATAGACAAATTATGGCTACTGAAAATATTTCGATAAAGCTAGAAAAATTAGGAAGAAAAATAGATGAATATCAAGGAAATCTAATAAATATATTAGAAGACAATAATAAGCAATTAAAATCAATATTAGAATATCAAGGTAATGAAAAACAAAAAGATATATATTCAGATTTAGAACACGCTAAGGATACAATTACCAATATAATAGTGGATATAAAACAAAGAGAAATAGCAATGGGAAAAACAACTCCAAATTCTAAGGAAATAGTATTACCGGTAGAGGATCTTAAGGAAATCATTATTAAACTTCAAGAAATAATAATTAAATTAGATAATAAAAGAAGCATTACAATTGAAGATATAAAAGAATATTTGAATGAGCATAAATCAGAAAAATCTATCCCATTAACTATCATGGCACCCTACAAACTTCTATGACTAGTATTGACGAACAGATTAATAAATTAAACGATTTACTAGCCGCAATTACTATTGAATCAGAACCAGATATAGAAGAAAATATAGAAAACGATAAAATAGTTCTTGACTATAGTAGTGACGAAAACCCCTATAAAAATTACACAAATACAAATTACACGAAAACTGAAACTGAGGATCAAGCTGAAACATCACGAAAGCGTGATTTTAATGACTATAAAGATGGTCAACTATTTTTTGATGAATACTTATATAAAAATTCGTATACACCTCGCAAAGGGGGAGGATGGAGTAAAATACCTCAATCTTACATACCAAAATATTCCACCACTAGTTTTAACAATCCTGATATATTAGATCTTGATTGTTGCGTCAACCCACTAAAAGAATTAGAAGACTGGAAAAATCGAACAGGATTACTAATACAAACTAATGAAGATCTAAAGAAATTACACCCTAATGAAATGTTTAATTTCTTAATATATAAAACAACTGGGGCAGTTTATCATTATCTTAACAACATGGATATTCCTTCTAAGACAACGTTATATGGAACAACGGATGCGACGAATACCTTTGAAAAAGTCTTAAATGCAATAACTCATGAATTCTTAGGACGACATCCTCGAGAAGATAAACCAAACACAACCATAAGTCAACAAGCTATTTGGCATTTAACTAATCTTAGAATTTGCAACATGTGCTTCTTAGAACCATTTATTTGTGAATTCAGAACACATTATTATCAAGTCACCCCTTCGATAAGAAAAGAGATGGATAAATTACTCTATGCTAAATTACCACCTAATGTCTCTGAAAAAGTTGAAGCTACCTTTAATGAAACTTTGGCTAGAGAAGAGATACCAAATACATTAGGAGGACGAATATTAGTTTTACAAGAATGGCATAAACAAGCTTGCAATAAGGAAAAACTAAAGAAAGAAGCTAAAATTAAACTCTGTTGTGAACAAACAATGGACAGAGTTGGAAAGTATGGGTGTAATGATGATCGTAAGATCATTAAAACTCGGAAAAAATATAGAAATTATAAAAAATGGAGAAAAATACCTTACAAGGAATATAGAAAAAATAGGTTTAGAAAACCGAATAAATATTTCAGAAATAGAAAACAGTTTAAACAAAAATCAAGACAACAAGAATACTGTCCTAAAGGAAAAACAAATTGTAGATGTTGGTTATGTAACGAAGAAGGACATTACGCAAATAGATGTCCTAAGAAAAATACTAACACTAGAAAACAAGAAGTCCTTAGATTAGCTTACGATTGTGGTTTTGAACCAATCGAAGAAACAGATTTTGAACTATCCGATATAGAAATTATTGAATATATTTCAACCTCAGAAACCTCTTCAGATGAGTCAGAAGAAGGTTTTAACTAAGGGCAATCCTAACGCAACATTTATTAAAATAGAAATAGAGAAGAAAAGCTTCTTAGCATATATTGATACAGGGGCAACCTTATGTTTTGCCAAAAAATCAACCATAAAAAAATGGGATAAACTTGAAAAACCTTTAAAAATTATAGTAGCAGACAAATCTATCCATGAAATTTGGTATGTAAAACAATATGTACCAATAATTATTGAAAAACATATCTTCACAGCTAAAACAATCTATCAACATGACTCAGGACTAGATATAATAATAGGAAATAACTTTCTAAAATTATATCAACCATTTATCCAAAGGATTAGAACAATCAGCCTTAGATGTCCTAAAACAATAGACCAGGAGTCTAAGATAATCACAACAAGAATAATCACAAAAAATGAAGTGCTAAAAATTGTGCTTCAAAACCTCAAAAATAGACTAGAATATATATAGATTACTTATAGCATTCTAGAGGATACTTTAGACCAGGTGTGTAGTGAACATCCTTTAGATAAAGATAAAAATACCAATCAAGAACTTATCGAAATTAAACTAAAAGATCCTAAAATGGAAGTTAATGTCCCTAACAAAATTCAATATACCCAACGAGATGTAGAAGAATTCCAAAAGGAATGTTCAGAGTTAGCTGAAAAAGGAATAATACGAGAAAGTAAAAGTCCTCACAGTGCACCAGCCTTTTATGTAGAAAATAATAATGAAATCAAAAGAGGAAAAAGAAGAATGGTAATAAACTATAAAAAACTAAACGAACAAACAATAGGAGATAGCTATAAACTACCTAGGAAAGACTATATATTAGAAAGATTAAAAGGTCAAACGTGGTTTAGTAGTTTAGATGCTAAATCTGGATATTGGCAACTTCGTCTACATGAGAATACCAAACCTTTAACAGCCTTTTCATGTCCACCACAAAAACATTACGAATGGAATGTTCTCCCATTTGGAATGAAACAAGCACCAGCTATTTACCAACGGTTTATGGATCATGTATTAGAAGGTTTTCAATCGTTCTGTTTGGCATACATTGATGATATTATTATTTTCACAAATCAATCAGAAGAAGACCATCGTGAAAAAATCTTGATAGTTTTACAGAGAATAAAAGAAAAAGGTCTAATTATCTCTAAGAAGAAATCAAAACTTCTTCAAAGAGAAATTGAATATCTTGGTATGAAGATTAATAATTTGGGTGAAATTGAGTTGTCACCAAACACTAAAGAAAAAATCGATAAATTTCCAAACCAACTTGAAAATAGAAAACAAATTCAAACGTTTTCTTGGATGCTTAAATTATATAAGCGAACAAGGATTTTTAAAAGATTTAGCAAAAGAAAGAAAACATTTACAGAAAAAGATTTCTGACAAAATCCCTTGGTCATGGAATGATCAAGATACAAAAATAGTTTTATTAATGAAGGAAAAATGTCAGCATTTACCAAAATTATATAACCCTTGTGAAAACGATTTTCTAATAATTCAAACGGATGCCTCTAAGGACACTTGGGCAGGGTGTATGTTAGCAATACAAAATGGTAAGGAATTATTACAAATGGACAATTTTGGTAATGTCAAAATAGACAATAACGAGGCTACTGTCTCTGGCCAAGAGCCTAAAGATTATCAGTCTTCGGACAATATTATTGAACTTTCAAGTTCTCAATCATCAGTTCCTTTCAACAGTGATAAATATTCTAAGAAATTATGTAAATATATTTCTGGAACGTTTACCGCCACTGAACAGAACTATCCGATCCACGAATTAGAGACACTAGCCTGTCTTAGAACATTGAAAAAATGGAAGCTTGAATTATTATCTACAAGGTTTGAACTTCAAACCGACTCTAAATATGTAACAGGTTTTTGGAGGTACAAGCTTCAGGCAGATTTCAACAAAGGGAGATTAATCAGGTGGCAGCAACAACTCCATTATTACAATCCTTATCTGAAGTATATCAAGTCCAGCAACAATCCCTTCACAGACACACTGACTCGAGAATGGAAGGATTCATAAAAACCCTCATCAATCAACTAAGGCAGAAGCAGGAAAAGAGTGCAGCACTGGAACAACAACTTCTCCTTTGCAGGGGGGAGGAAGAAGCAATAATTCAATCAATCGACGTCATTCAGCAACAGTTAAAAATCAACTACATCAACGTCAGTACATTAACAACTAGCTCCACTAGTGGAAAGCCATCAACACTCACCACAGAACCTGCTGAAAAAGAAAAGTCGACAGCAACACAATCATCCACCACTACCAGCAATAATATACAAAAGACGACACGATGGGCAGACATCGTTGAACAAGAAGAAAAAGAAACAAAAGATTCCCACTATGAAGAAGACGACAGAAAAGGCAGCAAGTGGTATGTCATATTCAATGGACCATACCGAGGAGTATATCATAACTGGGCCATCGCTAGCCAGCACATCAACGGCAAACCAGTCCAACATCAATCATTTAAAACAAAAGAAGCAGCAGACGAAGCATACAGAAAATCATACAAGGTGATGGCAATGAAAGAACCACTCAAGAATCAAGAGCAACAATCGCAGAAACTCGTCATGAAGATACCCAGTATCAAAAGCATCCTAACCACCAAGGAAAAAGAAGAGCAATTAAAACCAATCTTTCAGAAGTTCATATCCAACTGGGATATGATAATCAACTATGAAGAAAAACACACGACCATGGGTTTCTACCCCGTCAGTCGAGGAGGACCCAAAGCAGTAATCACAGAAGAAGCATCACCAGAACTCTCTTTTGAGTTCCATCAATATGGATTAATCGACACTATCTACACTACAACCATGAAGGTATTTGAATACTTCCCACAAAGAATGAGGAACGTAATCAGAAGATATCTCGAGCTATTCGCCAAGGAAAGAGAAATATTTCTCAAGTATACAAGCAGCTACCCCGTATTCGATCAAGACAAACTATTGATCGGATCAAAGGCAGTAATCCTCATGGGAGTATCAAACCATGATTACCCTACCAGAGATGACCTACGAGACTATGAGAAGAACCCAGACTACCAAGTAAAGGGTCTTCTTGCAGTATGCAGA